GTAATGGCATCCTGTAGCTATTTAGAATGTTGAGAGATCATCCAAGTCATGCAGAACATGTTTTGAATTACTGTCCTACATAACCAAATCTCTTCTTTTTAAACTGATGAGACTGGTTTCAAATCTCTACAAATCTTCTCCTAAGCTCAGGACCAATATTCATTTCTAAGACACTTTCTGCCTCCAATCTCTCATCATGCTATTTATCCTGAACTCCTGGCTTTTCTGTTGCATTTACTTTTGGCAATTCATTTGCAGGATGATTCACCTTACTCACCCTGATGCAACCTTCATGGGACTTGAAAAAACCTCTACTTTCAGCATCTCCTTCTCATCATGCTATTGAATAAACGCTGGTGTAACGCTGATGTCTCAGATGTAGTGATCATCTACATGACTTCACATGACAGTCACTGTTTCTGTCTCTAAAGCACATGCCTATCATTCATCAGCTCAAGCTAAAGACGACCAAACTTGAGAGATGATAGACCACACACACTAATCATCCCAAAGTAGATGTTTAAGTTAATTACATTGAACAAGCTTTTGGTCATTTTCTACAAAACAAACCAAACACCACACACACAAAAGGCATCCTAACACTTTACTTTCGGAATTAGCAGGTACACCACCATCATTGTAATTCAGGCCATTCTGTCCACATTCTAGCACCATTTTCTACCCAGCACTGTTGTAGACCCACAGACAATAGCATTAACTCCAAGATCCAATCTTTGTTCCACGCCTCCTTATCATAGGTTTTGGATTAACTTGGCTCTCTTTCTCCAAAACATCCTGGAATCCATTTATAACACTGTAGCAAAGCTTAGCCTTCTAACTCTTAACTTCAGCTTAGCATATCCCCCTTTTTCATTTTTTCCCCTTATCCATACTGTAAGATAAATAACTTCTAGTTGTGTTCTTCATAGCTGTAAGTGTGTATTAATTCTTAATACCTTCTTGGTTAGACCTTCTTGTGATATTCTCTGCATGTACGGCAAAAGTCTGCCAACTTCCCCTCGCACACCATTGTTGACAGCAGCCTCTCTTACACATTATTTGCTTTTTCCAAACTGGTATAATTGACTCCAGGAACATAAATTCAGCTACATACTTTATATAGAAATTGTATTTGTAATTGTACATGTAATATTAGGAAGTGCAGTATAATATTAACATGATGCACATGATGCAGTACATATTCTGAAATGTGACACATCATCATCTCTATCTGCTGCCTATTGTTCTCCTTAACCATAGACAGCAAATGAACCAAGAGCTTTTTCCAGAAAGCAAACTTAAACTATAAAAAGGAAATCTGTGCTTATGTCTTGAAGATTTCTGTATTTTTAATATTGAAATAAAACTTGCTCAGATCACAACAATGAATTTCTAGACTAATATACAAAATATTATAGGTCAGCAAATCAGAGACTGAAGATATAAGCTCAGTCTGAATAGAACTCTAGAGTACAAGGTAATAGCTTTACTTTAGTACTATGCATGGGAAGAAACTTGCTCACTCGGTTTATTTGTAATCATTCAGCAACTATGCTTTTCCCCACCACCACCATTTTTCTCCTTACTCTCATCCCTCCCCAAACTCCCAGATTAAAGTTTTTTCCATCTCTTCCTTTATTGGCACAATGATGTGAATGAATTTTGCACAGTGTTTTTGTTGGTAGCTACAAGAACCTTCTTTAAGGAACTTTGTTATGTAGGCTATGTATAGTTAGAGCAGTTGCACTTCACAATTTATTTAAACACCCCACTGGGAAATTCCAACATAGCTTAAGAACATGCACTATGTCATAGAAGATGTACAAATACAGACACTAGCATGAATTGTCCAATGACGAGTTTAAACTTCTGCAGCACGCACCATAATTCTAGCAGTCCTTAGTGAGTATAAGATTATGTTTGCAGATGCACTACAATTCACCCTGCTAGACCTACGTACCACTTGTCAAGGTTCAAGAAAACCCTATTTAGTGGGCTATGGTAAATTTTCTAACAAGTATGAAACCCTTTAGAAAGATTAACGTGCATACATAGCTGAACTGGACAGGTATACTTGCTTTTCTTTGACACTTTAGACCTTATAATACATGGATACCTAGGAATCTGAAGAACACATATGCATATGTATGCTAATATACATAGGGTATTTTAAAAGCATTAAAATAATTAAGCCAACAATAATCTCCCATTCAAGGGTTTCACCTACACTACTTTAAAATCAGTCCTGGTAATAATTTTACCAATTTTTATGATGTTACATTTATAATACCTGTTCTTCATAAAAATGTGGACACATTAATATTGGTCAGGTAGTCACGATATTAAAACTGTATGCAGGCCTCACACATGCTTTAGATGTCTTATCTAACTAGTGAACCAAAACTTAGAAAAATATGAACCAACAATTATTTAGGAATTAGGGCTTTATAGCAGTTCAGTGGATATGTTCTTTACAATAATTAAATGGAGGAGAAAAGCCAAAAATAAACAAAGCATTACTGACAATTACATGTTTCATTAACTTTTCTCAGACATGCATTTCTCTGCAAATGCTGATTAGAAGGCTTTAAAGTTAAAAAAAAAAATTTCCAAAGAATGTGAAAGATTAGTTATTGATTATACGGTATTTACGTGCTGTATCACTAGATCAGTACCATGTGTTACTATTTAACGAAATAGATTATTTATTTTAGAGTTTAGTGGGTGTTCAAGTACATTTATTTCCTAAGGACTACCCTGCAACTAAGACTTTGCCACATATGCTTTGGGAATAGCTCATAGCTCTGAAAGATATGGCATTAACAAACAGATGCACTACTTAAAATTATTCTGAATAATTTGCTTGTGAGTGCCTTCAGTACTAACATATTTTAATACTACAAAAATAAACACATTTACTAATGAAAAAGTTGGAAAAGGAAAGTAGGGATATAGGGCTCAGGCAACAGTCATGTTTGTCCGTATATTACAGTTCTTATTGTAAGAAAACAAATGGATGACTGATAGGCTTAAAAGGATATACAGTTGTGATTTTTGTTTGGATTCTTTCTCTTTAGTAGAGAAGCAACTTTAAATCTATAACGATAATGCAAGAAGCAACCCAATGTTATTTCACCTAGTTTAAAAATAGCCCTGCTCATTTCAAAATGTTTAATATAAACATGTCACGTTGTTGACACATATTATGAGAATATTACTGCAATATGCAAAATATAATGATTACTTGCTAAAGTTCACCAACTTGGTACTTGAAGGAACAACAAAAAACCATACATAGAAATATAGACGATTGGCAGTTGTCTTATTCTCTCCGAAAAAACAGTAGTCACACTAAACTCTTAGCATATATTACACACATATGCATAAACAGATCCACAAACCTATAAAAATATGCAGTCACCTACAGTATAGAAAATTCTCAGTTATGCCTTTCAACTCCACTAATAAATCAATGTAGTTCATTAGTAAGTGACCAAAACATAGCCAGCACAGAAACAAATTAATACGATCCTAAAAACCTCCAGACACTCACCAAAAGACTGAATGCAGGTTTCAAGAAGATCTTCCAAAGTGGCCCCTTTGGCTAAGTGCCCCAACGGCACCATCGTGACCTGGGTAAGATTTGAGAGGCTGGGACAATGACTGATCTGCTTCAGCTCAAGTGCCGATTCAGGGGCAGTGCTGCATGCTTGGGCAGGTTGCCTAAAAGAAAGCACAATAACGAAGTAAATACAAGAAGATCCAGTGGTAAATTTTACACTGCATGGGAAAGGAGGGGAGATTTGAAGGACAACTCCCTGTAGCTAGGGTGCTGAAAGACATAACCCTCCCACTTAATACGTACACCAAAGAGACTGCTCAATAACTGACTTTTCTTTTCTGCTAAATGTAGATTGTAGAGCACACGGTTATAGAGCTCCTTCAATGATCTGTCAAGATTACGAGAAGTCTTATTTCTTTGTTGGGGATTTATGTTTACATTACAATTTCAGCACAAGCATAAAAACCCCTCAAACTATGTAAAAGGAGTATTATTATGCAGTAATCTAGCACCACATATTCGTGTGTCCATCAAAAGTAAAGGAGAAAAATATAACTATCATCAAATATTACACACATTGGAAAACACCAGACTAGCTTTATTAATTTCATTTTGAAAATCACTGTTAAGTAAACAAAATATCAGTGCAACTTTACTGTGGAGTATTTCACAATTAAAAAAACAAAACAAAAAACCCCAAAAAACACAGCCAATTAATTTGCATCCATTCTATACTATTATTTCCAACTAAGTTGTTTTAAAATTGCATACATGACTAAATTAATGTCTTTAATAACAAAAGTAAGTAAGTGAGACCAAAATAAAGCACGTATCTAGTTTTAGGATTGTATTTTGATCACATAGATTTCAATCTTCTCAGATTTCAAGAATGTGTATGTTTACAGATAATATTAAGGGCTGTTCATTGTTTGTATACAAGTTCATAATTCTGTATGGAATAGTAAGTAGGTACATTATTACATCGATAATTACATGCTGAAATATTTTTGCCTGCAAATAACAGGAACGACCTCAAAATCTGACTTGAGAGTATAACCCCACAGTTCACAAAAGGGCAACAACCACTGCTGTTTCAGTAAGACTTGGGTTTTTTTCAGGGACAATTTACACTCCACAGTCATCTTAAACAAGGAATCCAGCATCTTTAAGATGCTATCTTAAAGCCTTCATACGACTTTTCTTGGAACACTATGCAAGACTTTATTAATAAACTGACAGTTCTGGGGAGAAAAGGCATAGAAATGTATCCAGTGTGCATATTACATACAGATAGGGAAGGTAAAGACGCAAACATCCCTGTGTAAGCATTCCTGGATGATGCTGGAAATATGCATGCCTTAAGACGACAGACTGGACCCTACCTCATCCCACTGAATTTCAACCCTTATCTTACATTTCTGTCTCATTTGAGTGCTGGGAAAGCCACGAAACCGCACATGATGTCACTTACAACCTAACACTGACCCAGGCCTTCATACTTGCAAAGTCAGGAAAATACAGGCCTGACCCTGCAGAGGTAGTGACCATCGCTCAGCTCCTCCAGATAAGCTGACAGTGTCAATGCAAAGAATGTTCTCTTCCCTTCCCCCTTTCTCTAAATTTCCCTCTTAGCTTTGTGATCTGACTTCCTGTTCTCAAATAAAAAGAGCAAGGGCCTGATCAGCTTTCAGGGTTTTCTTTTTACAGGCTTAAATCCCTCTCCTAACTTTATCCTGGTTCCTCTTCAGCACAAGACAGATGATCCTAGCAGTGCAGTAGTAATAAAGTAGGAGTTACAAAAGAAGGTATTTTAGGTCTTGGCAACAGAGTGTAGAAAAACTAAAGTGTCCACACTCCCCAAAAAAGTTCACATTAATTCTGTGGCCGACTTGGCACACTGGACAGGCAAAACTCAGCCGGTGACATGTCTGAAATTAACCACTCAGGAGAACAGACCCCCTGCAACAGTTACTTGACATGAAAAACAGATTAAAGCTGTGCTGGGGGCGGCGGGGGTGGGGGGACCAC